CCTTTCCAATTTGGATACCTTTTATGTTTTCTTCCTGTCTGATGGCTATGGCGAGGACTTCCAGTACTATGTTGAATAAGAGTGGTGAAAGTGGACATCCCTGTCTTGTTCCTGTTTTTAATGGAAATGGTTTTAGTTTTTGCCCATTGAGTATGATGTTGGCTGTAGGTCTGTCATATATGGCCTTTATTATGTTGAGGTATGATCCCTCTATTCCCACTTTGCTGAGAGTTTTTATCAGAAATGGGTGCTGGATTTTGTCGAATGCTTTTTCTGCGTCTATTGATATGATCATATGATTTTTGTCCTTCATTTTGTTTATGTGATGTATCACATTTATTGATTTGCGGATGTTGTACCAGCCTTGCATCCCTGGAATAAATCCCACTTGGTCATGATGTATGATCTTTTTAATGTATTGCTGGATCCGGTTTGCTAGTATTTTAGTGAGGATTTTAGCATCTATGTTCATCAGGGATATTGGCCTGTAATTTTCTTCCTTTGTAGTGTCTTTATCTGGTTTTGGGATTAGGATGATGCTGGTCTCTTAAAAAGAGTTTGGGAGTTTTCCCTCATCTTGAATTTTCTGGAATAGTTTGAATAGAATAGGTGTTAATTCTTCTTTGAATTTTTGGTAAAACTTTCCTGTAAATCCATCTGGTCCTGGACTTTTGTTTGCTGGGAATTTTTTGATTATTGCTTCAATTTCATTAGTTGTTATTGGCCTATTAAGGTTTTCTGCCTCTTCTTGATTCAGCTTTGGAAGGTTGTATGCTTCTAGGAATTTGTCCATTTCTCCCATGTTGTCCAATTTGTTGGCATAAGTTGCTCATAATATTTTCTTACAATCCTTTGTATTTCTGTTGGGTCAGTTGTTATATCGCCTGTTTCATTTCTGATTTTTTTTGCTTGGGTCCTTTCTCTTTTTTTCTTAGTGAGTCTGGCTAAAGGTTCATCAATCTTATTTACCTTTTCAAAGAACCAGCTCTTGGTTTCATTGATTTTTTTTTGGTATTTTTTTTTTAGTCTCTATGTCATTAATTTCTGCTCTGATTTTCATTATTTCCTTCCTTCTCCTTCCTTGGGGCTTTTCTTGCTGTTCTCGTTCCAGTTCTTTTAGTTGTTGTGTTAGATGCTTCATTAGGTCTTTTTCTTGTTTCTTGAGATTGGCCTGTAATGCTATGAATTTTCCTCTCAGGACTGTTTTCGCCATGTCCCATAGGTTTTGGGTTGTTGTTGTTCATTTTCGTTACTTTTCATGAAGTGTTTTGATTTCTTCCTTGATCTCCTTGGTAACCCATTCATTGTTTAATAACATGCTATTTAGCCTCCATGTGCTTGAATATTTTTGAGTTTTTTTATAGTGGTTGATTTCTCGTTTCATGGCATTGTGATCCGAGAAGATGCTTGATATGATTTCA